TTTTTTCTCTGGACAGGTCCTGAAAGAACTACAAAAATGTCGCCCCGACATTTTCAGCCGGCTCGTTTGAAAACAGACTTCACAGAAAAAGCAAAAAAACTGCTACTTCTAATCCGAGCCAATCAGTGCGCAGACCTGTTTGGTCAAAGGAGTGCACAGACTACGCCGCACTCTGCAGCATGGAGGCGTTTATGTTTGTGACACTAGCAAACACCTTTTTGATTTCAAACAGCTGCCAGTTCAGGCAATGGCTTCATATCCAATAGCTACAGATGCTACAGTTAGCTGAGATGTCGGAGCAGAAATGGAAAAAAAATCCTGCAAACGAATCAATGGATCGTTCATGTCGACCAAAATCATGATTCAATTATGAAGCTGGGAGGCTTTGGGAAAACTGGGAAACAAATACGACTCTTTGTTATTATGTAACAGTTACAAACTGATTTTAACAGCCTGCTAACAAGATGTTGCAGTGAACATCAAGAGGCGGGCTTTCTGATTAACATGTCATTCTTTTTAACCAATGACTGAACACGAGAGCGCCTCCATCAAAGAAACCGCTATCCATCGAGCAGGCAGCGTGTGGTACTGCGCCGTGAGGTGTATGGCTGAAGGAGCATGTGAGGGCATAAAGGCAAAGAACAGAGAGAGTGTGGAGGGAGACGGGGCTGAGGTGGAGATGTGGGTGGGTGGGGTGTGTATGTGAATGAAGAACAACACAGGAACACAGAGGCCTAACTACCTCGGAAAACGGGCTCGGGCTCAAAATCAAACACTATGTCATTGGGATAGGAGTATAGGAGGGGGCTTGAGGTCCGTGTTCGGTGCTTCCTCAAGCAGCAGGCGGGGTGGGTCGGGGGGGCTGCAGGGCAAAGAGAGACAGACAGACCATCACTGCTACTCAACACGCCCCCGTCACTAACTAGGCTCTAACTATGGCTACACAGTCAGAGCTATAAGCTGTCAGTCAGGGTGACTCCAGGGTTTGCTCTGGGCGTCCTCTACCATGAAGTCCATTGGCTCTTAACTCGAGTACGTCTCCATGGTAACTCACACTGTGAGGGTCCAGGTTAGAGATCGACTGTTGTGGAGTTTTTGGATGACGTGCACACCTGCAGTAAACGTCAGCAGATGTTTGCTCTCATGCAGCAAAACCAAAACCTGTCTGCAGTCAGAAGTAATGAACACAATAAAATCACTGCAAGGATTATATGATCACACACACACACACACACACTCACAGGCACACACACACACACACGATCATTCATTTAATGGACACACACTGTCTGCAGCTGTGTTACTTCCAGCATATATTTCATGTATTGTTTCTTTTATCACAGAATTCTTTTTCCAGCTTTCGTGTCCATGTGTAGCTGAAACACTGGGTTAGCTTATGGTGTTTGTAGCTAGCTTCACGTGACTGCTTACTCTGACAACTTAAGACACAGGCTGTATCCCAATTCAGGGTCTGCAGCCTTAAAGGCCGCATTTTAAGGCCGATTACGTCACA